GGGGGGGGGGGGATTTGGCGCATTCGGTAGCACTGATGAGGTTTCATCAGAGATTATTTGAAAGAGAACTGCAAGTGCAAAATGACATTTTAAAAGAGGGAAATGAAATTGGTAGTGGAAGCAAAGCAAACCAATTACGAAGTTACAGAAAATAAAACTATATTTGGTGAAGTGTCAGAGATTTTCTCGGACAAGGTTAAAGAAACGACTCGGCACACAGGAAAATTGTCTTCAATACTGACGGAAGCGGATCTCTGAGAGCGAACGACGGTTTAGTTGCTCCGTGATCACGCTCAGAGCCCCCCCCTCCTCGAGTTCGAACCTTTATTGTGACATATGCAAAATACAAGAATAACACTGCCCCCCATATTTGCATACCGCACCCCTGGTCCGGCCCCTCGGTGGTGATTGGTTACCTGGGTGTGCGCTTTGAACCAGCGGCACTTTGGCGCCTTTCGGTCTGGTCTACACTGTATCAACATATCGCAGACTTTGCGGACGACAAATGTCGCCTGGGCGCGACGGGTGTCCTCAAATCGTCTTTTGTTGTTCAACCGCTGTTCCCAAATTACTCGTTCCCCCTTTGTGACCGGATCTGGCCCTCTCTCCTCTGATCGCCCACCCGCCTTGATGTGTTAATTGTGGTGTGGGCTGCAACAGCCCTCCGCCCAAATGGCCGGCACCTTCTGAACAGGAATTTGGGGGTGCGAATTACGCACCCAGACGCTTCAACGTGCACAGATCAAATGAAACTTTAAACATGATACAATTTCGCCCATAGATTCCTCTAACAGGAAGCCAACAAACGCGTGCTTTGTTTGATTCGACTTATCCCAAGTGTGTGGCAATTGGATTTGTGCTTCCTGCGTAACGTGTATAACATTTGAAAAAGCACACCCGCTCTGGGAAAGACCAGCATCGATTGACAGTGCACTCAAATGACCCAAACACATGGAAGAGATTTTTGTCATCGGCGATATGGCATGACTCCTTCATGTGACTGGCTCCAAGTCAGCTCTTCAATTAATTAGAAGAAGAATATTCCATTGCTGAATAAACGACACGTTGCAATCATTTTTGTTTGCATTTGTAAACTGTAAGACATGAGCAAAGAAACTGTCGCGCTGGATCTCATTTTACCTGTGCTACGCTTACGCCACTTTGTGTGCTGTTGCACATGCCCATCAGACACGCAATTTAAAAATAATCAGCCAGCATAATTCTTGTCTCATGACTGATGTCACTTGGCGCATGCTAAATTAATCAATTTGCATTTATTCCTCCAGCAATGTGCAAAATTAACTGCGAGGCAATTTAGTGAATTTGGCAGATGCTCCTGGTTGCACCCCGTTAGTAGATTAGCTTCCACATCTGCTTTCATGTAAACCCTTTGCATTAGTTAACCCTTGGATGTTCACTGAAGTCTAGTGTATTTTGCTCATTAATTGGCTTTTCGGGCAACACTACTCCTAAAATTGGAGCAGGTTGTCCTCCTTGGTATACAATGGGCCCGACATATGACATTTAGAGGTTAACCCTCATGGAGTCTCGCCAGCCTGTCAAACCTCTACTGGATTATTGCAACATGTGGCTCTTCATTGTCACATTAGCCTCAACTAACATGCTGGTCAAAACATACGCCACTTTTGATTTTACCCCATGAAGTAGAAGAACATACTTGAAAGTATCCCCTGAAATCATTGGTATGAGATCAGATAAATCTGATTGCCCATTCATAAGTGTGTCAACAATCTTTCACACAACGCGATGATACTGTCCATCATCATCGCTTTTTTTTTTCTTCTCGCCAATAACTCAGCGGTTCCTAAGAAACAGGCGGTGGACTAGTGTCAGTCTATGGGTCAATTGATACCCGCCGCAAAAAGAAATTGAAAGAATTTTTTGAAAACAAGGTGCATCCGCCCACGCATTGGTAACAAGTCACTCCGACTCACTCAATTCAATCATGCGATACAGCGGGTAGACACTAAAGGGTTCTGCATAATATGGTGGTAATATTTACCAAGGTACTGCCTTTTCTCACATCCTCCAGACGCTCCAACACTTGTGTCAAGCTCGGATCATCAGAGTCCACGAACCAAATAGGTGGTGTTGATGGATATGACTCCTGGAGACATAAAAATAATGCAAGTTTGAGTCCATGGCTTGCATTTTAGTGAGTTTGCTTTGGTCACAGGCAGCTACACCAATGTAATATACTTTAAACCAGTGTGAGACATGATCATGTGTGCCATAAGAAACGCTGTATTTCACTTCATTGGTCATATGAAATCTTAATTTACTTTTTTACTAAAAATGTATTTTTGATCATCTATCTATGCCAGAGGCAAGCCGAAAAATTGAACGCTTTTCCACGAGAAGGCAATTAACCTGTGTGAACATCTGTGGTCAACAGCAGTGACGCGAGTGGCAGTCTTTCCAGTAGACCGTGTGTGTTTAGTTATGAGAAGTAGTTTTAGTTTCAACGGGAGATCAAACTCCCCTGCTTACATATCCTCTGAATGTATGTACGGTATATAAAATGTACAGAGTCAAAACTCGTTAATTTGAATGCTAAAAGTGAATTCCCTTGTGGATCAGTAAACTATCTATTTTATCCATCTAAATATTTGGTCGTGAATCTTAAGTGTAGACACAACAACAAGTACACAGGATTTGCACGGAGTAGGCTACTTGTCCAACAATTTTCACGGCTAACTTTAGCTTACCTGCTAACCCCACCCCTAATAAACACGTCAATCGCCGCTAGCGTACTGACCGTTATGTTGCAGTGAATAATCAGCAGCTTCTCCCCAGTTACGTTGAACTGACAGCTTAGCTCGTCGGGCTTCCAGTCGATAATCCGAAATCGTTCGTGGTTTGGATCGAAAATAGACTCCAAAAACTTCAGTTCGGCCTTCAGCCCCGACACCGACATCTTCCACGCATCTCCGGCCGGGCCGCTTGGGGAGGGGGAGAAGAAGCCGGGGCTTTAGCTCGGAGCTACTTTATGCCACAAGCAAAAACAAAAGTTAAAATTGAAAAAAATGTATATCCAGGTTTAATTTTGGAGTTCAATAATGACAATTTGTCCCTCGGGCTCCCCTGTGAGTTCAACGTCGCGGTGCCTTCCGCGGGAAGCGTCCGGTTCAAGTTGATCTCAATTCGATTTGTTTTCACCGACGTAGCGGCTAATGTTAGCCTTTAGCACGTTAGCATGCTAGTCCGTTGTTGTTGTCTTTCCGTCTATTGTTGTTGGCCGCCTATGATGACAACTGTCTTAAAAGGCTGCAAAGCCGCGTCGGCTCATCTCGTCTGCTCGCTCCCATGGCACGGCGCCCCCGTTATTCATCGAAGTGGCGGGAGAGCGCACGGTTCGCCCCGCTACCCCGCTGAGGGTGGAAATAGTCCGGCGGAGGAGGGACAGTGTTTTTCATCCCGGTTCATCTACTGGTAGCGTAGTTGGCCTCTGTTGGGGTTTAAAGATGGCGTTCCGTGAGCTCGCCGTTCCCGCAGCATCCCACAATCCATCGCGCCCTAGCCCGCGCAGGTCCAAGGCAAAAGTTTAGCCGAAATTATATTTTAGGTTTTAAAACTATAATATATTTATGGTTATTGTCTTTGAATTTTCAAATTTACCCATTTAAAAAAAGTGGGACACGATTATTATTTCTTAAATAAAGTTATTACCACTACAGTTTTCGCAGCATCAAACATTCAACACAAACAATATCACGTGAAATTTAACTCTGATTAACGTTAACATATAAATATTGTAAACACAACTTTGGTAGGCGCTGAGGCAGAAATTTGGACCTGTCTTGTTTGGCATGCCTCTACAACATTGCATTGGTGACAGTACCTCTGGATTGGCAGGCTCGGGTGGTGGTCCCCCTTTTTGAGAAGGGGGACTAGAGGATATGTTCCAACTAAAGTGGGATCACATTCCCCACCCTCCTTGGAAAGATCTATTCAGTGGTGCTAGAGAGGAGAGTGCATCAGGAAATCGAATCTCAGATTCAGGAGGAACAGTGTGTTTTTTTTCCCCCTGGCCGTGGAACAGTGGACCAGCTAAACACACTTGGGAATGTCGTTGAGGGTGCATGGGCGTACCCCTAACTAGTCTAATGTGTTTTGTGGACTTGGAGGTGTTCAACCATATCTCTCGTGGAGTTTTGTGGAGGGCGTTTCAGGAGTATGAGGTGCCAAAACCATTGATACGTGCTGCTTGGTCCCTATACGACCAGTGTCAGAGTTTGTTCTGCATTGCTTGCAGTAAGGTGATTTTGTTTCCAGTGATAATACAATTCCAGAAAGTATGTTTGACACAAACAACACTGGTCATCACCCAAAGAACAACATAAAGTACCTACAGTGAAGCGCGGTGATTGCAGCATCACGGCTGAAAAGGACAAAGGTGGGGATGGTACTTCCACTCAAGAAGTTGTGGCTTCAGTGAGCACGATGTCCCTGAAAGGTCATGGGAGAATCTCATACAGAGGTCAAGAAGGTGCTTTGACACTTGGCTTTTGCATGAGGCTTCTGCAACGACAGCAACCGCAATGTACTAACAATGAATATTTGCTTAAAAGGTAAAACCGACTTCACATTGTTTGATTGTATTAATACAGAATTTCCAACAGGGGGCAGTATTTCACAAAACAACAGAGACTTTTCTTGACGTTCTGGCGAAAACGGGCTTTAAGAGTGGTAGGCAGATACAGGCCTCAAGTTGTCTTTGAATAAGTTATTTCTTTTCAAAACAAAATCATAATTTGCACAATTTGACAACGAAAACATTGTTGGCATTACTGCTACTACTACTACTACTACTACTACTAATAATAATAATAATAATAATGTAATAAAAATAATGCTATTCGGCAAAAATGATGTTTGTCTTTGGAACTAGGATTTTTTCCCCTTCTTGTACGAATACAACTTTATTGTCATTAAATAATTATTACATTTCTTCCATTTTTATTGGTGACTGGAACACATGCAGTACAGTAATATTTTTGCATTTCATACCATAAAACATTAAATTGTTGTTTTCTTCCACCTTGGTGCTCTCATGCAGGGAGTCACACATGCAATAAGCAATGAACCTCTCAAGGGAGGAATGACAAATATCTGGGTCACCGATACTGCAGGCCGGTCCTGCAGCAGACATTGTATGCTCTCAACAGAGAGGTCAGGAGGCAATACTGATGCTACGAAAGGTCGAGGTTCCAGTTTAGCACACTCAGTCATTCGCTTTCATACAGTGACAAATGCCACTATTGTAAAGTGTGTGTGTGTGTGTGTGTGTGTGTGCGTGTGTGTGTGAGAGCATGTCACCATGTTAGCTCTGCAGTTAGAGTTACAATGGTGACATGTATGTTTGCGCACACACACACACCAGAGATAGACTTTAAAAAAAAAAAAAAAAGAAGACATCATAGCTACTCAACTTTCAACATGATCACCGACGAGTCAGCATTTTTGCCGGCCTTTATATCTGAACTTCTTTATATTTCGGTGAAGGTCCGGATAAGCTGCAGTTATGCTTTATATCTATTTGGCCATTAATAGAAGCGGCACAATCCCCTCAGAATCATGATGGTGAACTCCCATCTGACTGACCATCATCCAGCATGAACCAGGAAGTAACCTGCTTGACACATAAATCAGCAGTTCAGCCTTTGTGCAGGTCTGCGCTCTACTGAGTTACATTCTCGTCATACACCATTTTCACATTGTTCAATGAAGCAAATGTAATGGCCCAATGTGTATTGTTCATGTCACCGGCAAAAGATCTGCTTGACATGCACATCGTCATGCCGAGGTTCTTGTGTACGCACCAATAAAGCAGCAGATTGCTGTTGTCCTAGCTGATTTATCCTGCTCTTCTGTCCTCCACATCAGCGCCAGGCGAAAAGTTAATTAAAAGCCCGCCTCGTCACCTCATTCCATCTCAGCGAATCACTCCCCGCCATTCATAACCTTTACGACTTCACACCCCAGATGATGGCCGACGTGTCAGGGGCCTACCGCTTGCTATGAAATAGAAATACACAAACATTAGCATGTTGTATTTTGTAATCTTGCTTGAATTTCTTGAATTAATAGGATTGAGTTAATAAGCAAGAGGGCAGCTGAGTGGATAGCACGTCACCTCATGGTTCTGAAGTTGAGAGGTTGCGTAATTTGAACTGAAACGGACTCAGAACACATTAAAGGGAGAGTTTTCAGTTTTGTAACTGGTAGCAAGATTTGTATTTTTCATCGTCATTGCAATCATTAAAAAAAAAAAAAAAAAGACTTTTACTTGAACCATGGGAATATGGAGAATTAAAATACTCTTTTGAAAGTAATGGTCACACAATGAGAACAAAAACACATTTACATATAGAAATGTGCTAAATTGATTCCAGAAATACTAAGGAAGTGAAAAAACAAAACAAAACAAAACAAAACAGAACACTTGGATCTGCATCTGCACCAAAATTGAACAGGAAGCATGAGACGAGAAAATCTACTATGCTGGTTGTGTCAGTCATGAATGTGCGCTCCAGTCAAAGTCAAGTATCCTCGCTGTGAAAACTTGGCGGAATGTCAAGTCATTAAGTTTTGTGGCTGGAACATTTATAACTCATGTCGTAAAGTCGTGCGATAGCGAAAAGTCAATCCGTCACGCTTATGCTGCTGATTCACCACATCCGGCACCGGCACTTTGTCAAGTGGCGACAGCAACATTCCTATTCTCGCTTTATTTGTATGGAGCTTTCAGAACCGCGGCAGCTAGAACAAAGCACTCGACAGAACATTGAAAATACTACTGTACGTCCAAGAAATGAGAATATTGATCTCTATATAAGGCGCATCGGATTATAAGGTGCACTGTCGGCTCTTGAGAAAATGAGAAAAGTGAACGCTTTTCGGTGCGCCTTATAGTACAGAAAATATGGTAAATGTTTTTGTTTCCTCAAGTATTGACTGTATCCCAAAAATTGTCTTGGAAAGTGGAATGAATTACTTCGAGACTATAAATGTACTGGAATTGTACCTATTCAAAAAGTAATAAAAGATTCTTCAGTCAATTAAGTCAAGCCACATTGCATTGTTTCACCAAATACTATATTGCCCTTGTTGTACTGACAAATTAGATTTCCTTTATGACACACAGACTATTATAAAGACTAGTACAGAATAACAAATATTTAAATGATCATATAAATGAAATAATATGCTATCAATGTGCTCTAAATAACCCTCTAAAGCCCTATTTTCCTAGAAAATGAAATGAATTCTCATACTATAATAAAATACTGTAAAACTAAAATAATATAACATTTTTAAAGAAATACGTTTAAGTCGGTCAATCCATTCAAAACAATCAGCTGTTAAATGGAAAATACTATTAATTTTCAGGAAACAAATGACATTTAATTACAATAAAATATGACTTTGTTTTTGCATTTATACAGTAGAATGAGAACTTGCAGAATAATTCTGTTTAAAAAAAAAAAAAAAAAAGGCCCAGTCAATGGTCGATGTGTTTGTCAGTTTTAGTACTTCTCCAATGAGTCCACGGAGGCCCATTAAGGGCAAAGGCCGAGTAAATGTCACCTTGAGTTGCGGCGGCATCACTGCAGAGTGTCTCTCGGCTCTATTTACATCGTCACTTACTCACATTATTGCTCCCGCGCCTCGCGGTGTGTGAGAAATGCGACAGAAACACGTTGCTTCGCTGTTGATGCTTAACTGGCCGTTATCCTGTTTGTAATGGAGTCTATGAAAAGATCCATCCATCCATTTTCTGATCTGCTTATCCTCACAAGGGTCGTGGGGCATACTGAAGCCTATCCCAGCTGTCTTTGGGCAGTAGGCAGGGGACACCCCGAACTGGTTGCCAGCCAATCGCAGGGCACACGTAGACGATCCACCATCCACGCTCACACTTACACCTAGGGACAATTTAGAGTGTTCCATTAACCTGCCATGCACGTTTTTGGATTGTGTAAGGAAACCGGAGTACCCGAAGAAAAGCCACGCAGGCCCGAGGAGAACATGCAAACTCCACACAGGAAGGCCAGAAGACGTCTGTCAACAATCAATTGGTGTTTAACTCTAAAAAAATACTTTTAAAAAATTCTTTTTAGCTTTAAATCAACAGTTGAATTGGACACTAACGAAAGCAGTCAACTGATATCAGGAAGCTTCTTGGCATGTTGTGTTATTTGAAACAGGTGGCAGTAATCCGCAAGCGGGGCAACTTGTCTCACTTGTGCCACTAATGAAAAGTCTCCGGTGAAGACAGATTAGCCAATTAATAGGCGCGTACTCGCTGTGTCACTTCAAGACAAGAGGAACACGACGCGTCATAATACATGAGTAGAAAAAGACGGATGCTCTGACTCGACAGGCGGAGAAGAAGCGTTTAACACGACTTCCTAAATTCAATCTGTGGTTTCCTTATAGTCGAAGCATGAGGGGTGGAGGGTGTACATTATTTGTCATTGCCGGACAAACAGAACATCATACAATTACGACATTACGGTGAGCATAAAAGTTCATCAAAATCTGATTGTATAGACTGAGATCTGATTACATCCAGGGCTCGGCAGAACAGGAATCGTCTCTGACGTCAGTGCCGATCAGATTTAAGTATGACGGAGTGTGATTTTCCACGGCAACCCTCCTGGGGTTTGAAGGTGATGGTCAGGGTTGTGCAGATCCAATCAATGCTTGTCAGTGTTGGGAATGTAAATGAGCCACCTGGATCTGCATTCTGTGGGGGTTGGACATGGCTAGTGATGCTATGAGTGCAATAAAACAATGGAAATCAAATTACGCAAACTGGAGTCGCTTCAAATACAACAGAATCGCAAAAGCATTGTGGTTTGGTTTCATTCTCATATTGTCCCCAATAGGAAGAACAGAAATATTCCTGGCGACCAGGGTAAGGTGTGCAGTATCCCATTTCTTGCTCAAAGTTTACCCACAACCCTAATGAGGATAAGTACGAAACAAAATTGCTGGAGAAATAATGGAAGTGGAAATAATACAATCCAGGGTCATTAAATGGACAGGCAATGCATTCAGGTACATGTTAAAAATGTAAAACAACAAACAAATCTTTTTTGGGTTTTTTTTTCCATTTCCCAACACACCCCTAGCGATAGACTTGGGACCATTCTTTTTAGTATGCACTGTCGGATCGAACAAGAGTTCATAATTTAGAGTTAAGAGAAAGGACAAAAAGTCCCTGCTGGTCAATGTATTTGTGTGTGTGTGTGTGTGTGTGTGTGTGTGTGTGTGTGTGTGTGTGTGTGTGTGTGTGTGTAAAATCAAATGTTTATATAGTTTATATATGTTTTGTATAGATAGCTTTTGTTTGAGGATGCTGGTTGTTTTGAATCTTTTGATGACTGTCTTAACAATAAATCAAATCAAATCCCATGTCTGCCTTGCTTACCGCACTGACAGACTGATTACTACAGACAACGGACCTTGGTCATTGCTGGGTTGTTTACAAAAAAGCAATTTTTCCAGAGCTTCGTGGTGTGGCCAAGGAAGATGGATCAATCATTACTTCAAAAAGCTCCCACAGCAAATATACCAAATATGCCGAGGTAGTCGGACAACAGGGAATAGTGTAGTGATGTGATGGGTAACGTTTGACAAGACTCACTTCTCTCGCCCTGTTGTATTATATGTATTTACACTTATATTATAGGCCATACATTGGGGCTGAGATGATCTAATATTCTTCCTCAGCAATGCCTTCTTGCTGCGTAAAAGCACGCACGTGAGTCTTGGCAAAAAAGGCAAAGAGCAATTATTGCCAAATCTTACATGACAGCAGTTGTATTTTTTTTTTTTTTTTTTTTTGCAGGGGTAGCTAGAACGGATTACGGCATTTCATTTCATTTCATTTCAATGGGGAACATGAATGGGATTATTATTATTTAATTGTATTTTGAGCCGCCAGGTTCTTTTGTGGTCTGACTGGTTGATTTGACAAGTCTGCAAGAGCATGACTGGATCTCATCGTGCAAGATGTGGTCCCGGTGAGAGAGCGGTTCGCAAGCGGTCTACGCACAGGTAGAGCCAAATTGGATCTGTCACCGCTCCCGACAATCCAGATGGTGAGTCGCTCCCCTCGAGAGCTTTATTTCTTCTTTCTTCTTGCCCCCTCTGCTGAGATGGCAGCCACTGGTGGAAAATGTTCATCACCCACACACTGCTTCCCAGGACAGCCGCCATATGTTTGCAACTTTTCTCATTCTGCTCTTCTTCCCCGTTCTCCACTCTCGTAAAAGTCCCCCAAGGACTAGGTGAGGTTCCAAACAGAGACGCCTGCTGATTAGCTCACTCACATACATTGATTGTGTGATTGGCAAGAGAAAACGCTTTCACGACCCAAACTTCCTGTAATCCCTCTCAGTGTGACATTTACATTCAGCTTGCATGTATATAAAGGCAGTGCACGGTAAAATAATAGCATTGTGTTTAACTCAACATTATACAAAACTTAGTCAAGCTAGACAAAAAAAACGAACTCATAATATCATGTAACAATATTATGCTAGCTCAAGTTTTCAGACAGTTCCTCAACGACTGTTTATATGCTAGCCCAAATTTCCACATCCATGGCATTGAAGACCTCTTTTCATGAACAAGACATTGGTCCTCCTAGCTAATAGTTTTAAGTCGGGGCTCTCCCCCCTCTCCTCCGCCACTCATTGTCAGCCCCTCCACTCCCCCCTCCTAGCCCTCCGGCCCTGTAAACTGTTTAGGCATTAGGGGAGTGATGCGCTCATTTATGGGGCTCTCACAGCAGCCTCATGTTGCCTCCAGCCACAACAAAGTAAATAGACTGCTTTGAATGTGATTAGGGAGCCAGTTGACTTGGTTAAGTCGCATGAGCAACAACAGATCCCTCGGAACTCTCGGGCTCCACAAGATAACCTTCATCCGATTACAGTGGCTGTGCACAGTCCATTTATCTATTACACACAGACTTATGAAAAATACATGATTTTGCACGAACAAAACCATGTGGTCGACCTACCTGCTTTATGTTGACGCTTTTATTATGGTTTAAATCATATGGGCCGGCCTGATCTTTATGAACGTATCATATAACACTAAAATGGCTTTGCCCCTACCAAGGCTGAACATATTTTGTACACTCCCTTCTCCATCTACACTTTCCTCCAAAAATACCACAAGTAATATAAGATGCAATTTAGATCTTTTGTCTGAAATTCATGTATGGTCACGAAACCCAAAAGCTTTCAGTCGACAGCAAAATTAAACTCATCGGAGGTGAGTGGAGCTATCTCACAGCTCAGCTTGCGAACTTCAAATGAGCCGTGACTGGTCGTTACCTGACCCCTGTTGATGTCATTATCAGTAGACAGCAAAGTGACAAAATGCGTGTTTTTTTAAGTGTTAAATTGTGCATGAAAAATAGTGAAGTTATCAAATTCAGCATAAGCACGTCAAATAATGGATGGATACTGTGGATACTGCTGAAAATTGCAAGATGAATATCGTAGCCTTTTAAATGAACTTATTGCCACAGAGCACAGTGTTCTTCATGTGCCTGAGGCTCATCTCTCAAGTACAATCGTCCGTTATGTGCCATTAGCATGAATACTGTAGTTAATAGCTCATAGCCATCCATCTTCAGTCACACTTCGGTTGCTGGTGAGCTGGAGTCGATCCCAGCTCACTTTGGGCGAGAGGCGGGGTACACCCTGGACACAACCAACCATTCACACCTATGGCCAAATTTGAGGCTTCGTTGAATGGAACATATTTTTGGATGACTCAGAGAAAATCAGGCACAAAGCAGAGAAAACAGACAAACTCTACATTGTGAAGCGTGAGTCGAAATTCAAACCACAGACCTCTCCACTGACTCGCAGAGGTGTTAATCTGAAAAGACCCGCCTCTCAGGCACAAGCCTGTGTCATGTGTCATTAGAGGTCAGAGTGAGTTTAGCGTATAAATTTTCACTCATATGACAGTTAAATAGGTTACTTACAAATTGCCTGTAAAGCTATCAGAGTTTTCTGCTGGTGACAAAAAGGCCAACTCATATTTCCCTGATTTCCTCTCGGTAAAAATAGGTTGCAATTCATGAATCCATCAGATGAGCAATTGACAAGAGAGTGTGAACCTCGAGAGTGGAATGGAGTCCATCTAATCTCAAGAGGACTGGTACCAGAACCCAAACTGTGTGAGGAGGCAAGCTTGAACTTTTTGACTTTGCACACCAGCTCAGGTTCCTTCCCTGCCAGAGGTTACATTTAATGTTCCTAAAGCCAGTTTCTATGGTGGGGTACTGAAACGCCAAGGTCCCCGCCAGCCAGCTCTCTATGCACTCAACCACCTTGGCCCCCTCACACATGTGATGAGCCCATGGAAAGGGGGACCCACGTTGCTTCTTTTGACTGCCCAGCAAAGCCCCACGTGCACAGATCCAGCTACTGGCCGCAGAACACTGAGGACCACTTCCAGTCCTGGCTCCAGAGGGAGGCCAAAGCAACCAAAGTAATGTCTGGATGAATGAAAGCACTGTCCACTGGTTCTAAGTAATGCTTTTTTTGGTCTCTCACCATGAACCTGTTTGCCCTGGTATGGAGCCCCAGACAACCTTGTGGATCACATGGACATACAAATCGCTTCACCACGATAAGGTGACAGCTCTGGGAGGAGATAAATCACATAAAACTAGAACTAAATGTCAAATCAAAGTTATAATAATGAAGAAAAACAGGACAAATAGTTTTTCAAAACAAAACTGCTATACATATTTTCAATAATCATAATATGCCACTGAGGAGAAAACTTGATTCATCTCACAGTTGCACTTTCTCAGCGCGACAAACTTCCGAGCCAAAGTTATCATATTCAGTACAGCGCTGAACATCGCTAAACATAAAAAAACACAACTGCTCACAAAATTGCTTATGTGACCTAATGTACTCGTTAATGTTTTATTGTAAAAATTACTTCTGTGGGGGTGGGGGGAGCACATAACAACAAAGCTAAGGTGAAGTCAGACTTGACAAAAATACCAGAAATTGTGAGCACATAAAAATAAATCCTGACGTGGAGAATGACTTGACAAAGATACCAGAAATTGTGTGTTTTTTTTTTTTTTTTTAAATTAGAAAATGGGAGTTTCAAACATACAGGAGTTTTGCAAGTCGAACCGTGTCTTTGACCACAGAGTAGAAGCATGCAAGAAGTTTGACTTGTAATGCTAAAGAGAGGACACTTGTGTTCATGACATGAGAGCTCCAAGTGTAAATTGAAACTGGGCAGGTCTTGGACGCTCACTAGCCGCCTGAGACGCCGCAGGAGCGGACACGTAGCCTGAGCGTCCCCCTGCAGGATGGACGGATGAACGAACAACCACGAAAGTACACACGGCGAATTCTGCTTCTTCTTCTTTTGTTGTTGTTAATTTCAACTAAGTTCCATCACAATGGCGCCTTTTGTGACACTTCTTGGGCCGATGACTTTGTTTACCGATAGGAGCTCCATGCCGGCTCCGCACGGGGTGCGTCGCCTGCGGCTTGCGCGGTCCAAGGACCGCTCCTCTGAGACTTGGCAGGCTCACTCGTCCCACGAAGCACACGTTATCGGGAAAATGACGACTGCTCTCGCCTTTGTCGCTTCTGTGCTCACTTTAATACACGGTAAGAACTATTCATCTCGTGCGTTATGTACAGGTTGCTGAAATGACCTTATTATTAACCAAAGAACTTGCAATGTACAGGTACTGTTGCACTGACTGTCCCAAGACTTTTGCAGAATATAGTTCATGCATATACTGTACAGTATCAGCCCAGTCTACTTTTTGTGTCCAAACGCAGTGTTAAGACTTTTATTGAGGCAAGGCATGTATTTTACATGAGAAAAAAATCTCAAGACGAATGTCGCTGTGGCAATAATAACAATATTAGATACATTATTTGTCGTAAAAAATAAATTTCCAGCCTATTCAATGAGAATGACTAAATTTGTACGCACAATTGATGATCTCTCATAGCACACTAATATTTGGATTGTTTTCATCTTTCAACTCAAATTTACATCTGGGCCACTTAAAAAATACAGTTGAAACATATTTCTGAACGCAATAAAGATTGGACATAAAAATGAAAAGTGATGATGAAATATGAATTATAATATCTATAATAGTAATAAGAATAATAACAATAATAATAATGAATACATCACATTATTTTCGAATGAAAATATTCTTTAAAACCAAACTTCTGAAGCGCCTTCTCAGTCCCTCTGATCAAACTAGTACAGGAGATGTCGAATGTAACGAAAAAACTGTAGTTTTTGAACAACCGTCAGTTCATATGTTTTGTTGGTGAGTAACAAACTACAGTTGTGTCCACCAAAGAAAATGCATAACTAAACTAGTGCAAACAGTTTATTACAACACAAAGCAAACTTCAACTTGTTAAAAAGAGTTGGTAGTACGAATACACTACAAAGTAATGAACTTCCTTTGACCGGACAGAATTTAGGAACGTTAGCTAGCATAATCATATGTACACAGTATTGCAGTGACAAAAATGTGGAGTTACCTTTTCTATAAAAAAGCTGACACTTTAGCAGCAGATTGCTCGTTGCTAGGCTAAGCTAAATGGCTAAATGATGGTGGAATGCGACGGTTATATTGTTCTAATGAATGCTTTCAGTAAAAATATGTTAAATACACAAAAGGAATAATCAGCAGATTGCTTGCAACAAAAATGTTGATGTATAAAAATACATATAATTATTGTGTATTTCACATAAAATTTAACCGCATGTGTGCCGCATTTGCACCTAAATCTGACAACATTACCAAGCCATTTGACACTGGAGAAGGAAAAGGAATAATATTCACTTTGGAGTGTACTCACTTTTGTTGCTGACAGTTTTAACCAACTTTTTTTTTTTTTTGGCTATGTTCAGTGAAAAGTTAGAATACAGTATTTACAAAAATGTACCGTAAAGCAGTATCCTCGCTTTTGTCTGATACTGTATTTAAGTAGTTGAGAATGAAATATTCTTTTGCAATACATGATACTATGTGTACGGTGTATGAAAATGTGAATGTGACCAACAACAAGGAAAGTCAGCAGCATTGCATTTGATGACGATATGCAGTACTCTATGTATCAATCACATCTCATAACCGCCTCCCCTCCCAATATGCTTTTCTCACAACCTGATCAAGTGCACACGGGTGCACCTCAACATGGTATTAACTACGCCTGACCACACTTTCAATCAACACTTTTACATGGAAAAAAAAAAAACAAGTACGCCAGTGATACACACAGCTGGTGAAATTGCCAGTTCAGGCGGGAATTGTCTGTTGCCTTGTTTGATTGTGACCCCTGAGGTCTTGAAAACACGCCATCTGCTAACCGAAGCAGCAGGGGCGCACAGTCATGGTAGGCATCCCAGCCAGAAGAAAGAAGGTTCAGATACCCAAGCATGTATGGCGCCATTAAACAGACAGTGGTGAATGGCCTGCTAATGACTTACAGTGGGTCTCAACAACAAGAAAGCCATTAGAAAGTTTGGAAGCAGAACAACATTGCAAACATTGGGGCGTCAAGTCATATTTTCTTTCCGAAAGGTCACAGTTGATGACTTTTCCTAAGTTCTCCATGGTAGCAATTCTACAGGACCCTCCAATTAGAGAGTTTGTTATTCAGTCAACTGATGGGAAATGGGGTTCATTTATAAAGCACCTTTGGCTGAAACAGAAAAAACGTAATCAACTACAGTTTTCATTTTTGCACAATATTCATATGGATGAAAAGTAAACATTGGAATTCACTATTTCAGCTCTGATGCTATGACAGTAATCCCATATACCTGGTTGACAGTTTTTTTTTTGTTTTTTGAAGTTTGTTATGTTTGATTTTTTTCTTGGATTTTTTTATTTTACCATTTTTAAGTGGAAATGTACATTGAATGTTGATCAGCATTTTTTAACAAATTTTTGAGGTGAGTTATTTCACTTGGTTTTCTTTTCGGTTCGGTTCCTTTGTAATTGTACTCTAATAATGTGTGATTCTTTTGAGTACGTGTGTACTGTTATTCATTAAAAGAAAAAAAAATTGTGTCTCCAGGCTGTTTCGGTGCTGACTCAGAGGAGCGTCTTATTAATTGGCTGCTAGGCGAAAACCGCTACAATCCGCTCATCCGCCCTGCGGTCAACCCGACCGAGAGGGTAACAGTGAAGCTGCAAGTGTCTCTGGCGCAGCTCATTAGCGTTGTACGTATTGGTTGAAGTCGTGAAAATATATAGAAACTGTTTATAACTTCCATTGTTAATTCTCTGTTGTCATTTCCAGAATGAAAGGGAGCAGATTATGACCACCAATGTCTGGCTCACTCAGGTTAATAGAATGAACAATCTTTAATTTGAATTCATCCGTGTCCGTTCGTTTTTTATGTCAAGTGGAGCCTACTGCTTGTACACACCATTATTATTACTCACTGAAAAAGAAGATGCCATTTGGAAAGTCCGACTTACTCTTCTTATCCTGTTCAGCACTGGGTGGACTACAGGTTATCATGGGACCCCGCCAAGTACGAGGGAATCAACAAGCTGCGTATCCCTTCCAGACACGTCTGGCTTCCTGATATCGTCCTCTATAACAAGTGAGTGGCATTTAAAAGAGCCATATTATGCATCATTTTCACAATTTAAAACAAGTGATAGGTCTCTCATTCACGAAATATCGCAAGAATAAAAAAAATACTAATAATACATCACACTACACATACGGTTTTAATCCTGAAAGTAGATCTTGTCCCACACAAATTAACCGTTGCTTATGGGGAGTTTGCATCATCAAACTTCTACTTTTTCCTTTTTTGGGCAACTTGGCTTATGTGGTAGAGTGGTGGCCTTTCAAACCAAACATTGTGGTTACTGATACTGATACTGCTCCTGAGCACCCAGTTGTTCCCGATAAGGGCCTTCTGATCCGAGCATACTAAAGATTCATTTTCATCCAGTTCCTTACCAACGAGTTGACATAAGATCTGGATTTAGTCATTTCTTTGTCATCCAAACAGTGCCGACGGGACCTACGAGGTGACAGTCTTCACCAACGTCATTTTGCTCTCCAACGGCAGCATCAGTTGGCTTCCCCCCGCCATCTACAAGAGCGCCTGCAAGATTGAGGTGAAGCATTTCCCCTTCGACCAGCAAAACTGCACACTCAAGTTCCGCTCATGGACCTACGACTATACCGAAGTTGACCTGATCTTAAAAACGGAGGTGGCCAGCATGGACGACTTCACACCCAGCGGCGAGTGGGACATCCTGGCACTACCTGGCCGGCGTACGGTCAACCCATTAGATGCCACCTATGTGGACGTCACGTATGATTTCATCATCAAGAGGAAGCCGCTGTTCTACACCATCAACCTGATCATTCCGTGTGTGCTGATTACCTCTCTAGCCATTCTGGTCTTCTACTTGCCCTCAGACTGCGGCGAGAAGATGACCCTGTGCATATCCGTCCTGTTAGCCCTCACCGTCTTCCTGCTCCTGATCTCTAAGATCGTCCCTCCGACCTCGCTGGATGTGCCGCTGATCGGCAAGTACCTGATGTTCACCATGGTGCTGGTGACCTTCTCCATTATCACCAGCGTGTGTGTGCTCAATGTCCACCACCGCTCCCCCAGCACACACACCATGCCCCCCTGGGTCAAGATCATCTTTCTGGTCAAACTGCCGACCTTGCTTTTCATGAGACGCCCTCATGATAACACTGTGCGTCAGAGGCAGCGACAACAGCGATGCCTCCGATCGGGGAGCACAATAATGGGCTTGGGTTCGCCTGGCGCATCCAAAACTGTTTTCCCCAAGATGTCTTCAGCCTTGCCTTCAGACTCTGCCTTCTCCACAGCAGGACTTAAAAGTACAACCCTTCCTCTGGGGTTTAGCCACCCCAACAAGAAGGGCGATTTGCGGTCCACGGAGTCCGTTCCCAGTGGTCTCTCCTTGACGCAGGACCTATACCTTCGAAGCAATTCACACTTGGCTGGCGATGTCCAAGAGGCTGTGAACGGGGTGCGCTTTGTCGCGGAGCACATGATGGCAGATGATGATGACCAAAGTGTATGTATAATTCTTTTACTGAGTCTGTTTCTATCGCAAAGGGTCTTGAAATATCCGACCTGAGCCATTCCCAGGTTCACTAGTGCTTTGCTAGGGTGCTTGTTGGGTGGTAAGCAGCATAGTACATCTCAGCATAGGTCATTGCAGTTTAGTACATTGTACCTTAACAGAGTGACCTAGCAGAGTTAAAGTCATTTTTACAGTGATAGGAAAACACAAGTCTGATCACGTTCTGGAGATCCGAATTGTAGCTATCGTAGTCTAGATATCGTAGTGTAGTGTGTATAGTGGTGCAGCAAGTTGAAGCGTAGTGAAATTGGATTTACAGCTATGTTTACAGTTCAGGAAGCACAAGTCTGATCAGGGTCGAACAATATGAACCACGGTGTGGCCTTTGGTAGCTTGCCCTAAATTAGCATATCGTACTGTGACATCACATTGTGTAACTTAGCTTTGTGCAATGTAGCATAGCATAACACAGTAGGTGCAAGCATCCAAAGATTTTCTCAATATTTCAGACTTACATTTCTTAAATACATGTGTCGTTACGACTCTATCGTTAATCGGGCACCGACTAAACCTTATGTTGAGCCGCTAGCCATTGGCAGCTGATCATGATCTGAACATCTACTATTGACACGAGCCAGCTGAATCTTTCACTAACAATTCGATCTTCCATTCTCAACTAAACTGGGACCAAAATCATATGTGCTTTTACTCTTCAATTCCTTTCCCTCCTTGACATAGCGCTCACCTTTAGTAACCCCTGTGACCCGGCAAATCAAATGCCACTGACAAATCAAATCGACTGGCGGAGGAACCTGTGAGGAGCAAGCGCTTCTAAAAACAATTAAGGACAGATGGAAAATGGGGTGAAAGGGTTAATAGTGGCGTAGCTTTATCGAGGCCATAAAACTGTGATAACCCAGTCTGGATGATATACCCATCCTTCTATTGGACCACCAGTTTGAGATCCATCTCACAATTTTTAGCCATTAATTACTCACCCCTGAGACGGATGCTCTTTTGTGCTTGCAGGTGATAGAAGACTGGAAGTACGTGGCCATGGTGGTGGACCGCATGTTTCTGTGGATCTTTGTCATTGTGTGCGTGGTGGGTACCCTGGGCCTGTTCCTCCAGCCCCTCTTCCAGAGTCAGGTGCCTCAACAACAACAGCAACCCACCTCTGAGATGCCTCGCATTTGATCAGCAAATTATGATAATTTTTTTTTAGCATGATAGGGAAGAAGTCATTGTAAATCTGCGGAACAGCAGGGGAGGAAGATCAACTCGTTTTAGTGTGTATGATCTGCTTTTTCTTTGACTTTTTTTCACAAGACCCGCTCCAAAAGAAGGAAGCGCCTCAATGAGGGGTGTTCAAAGGAGAACAGCAACACAGTGGTGCCTTCAGATATGAGTTTTAATTCATTCTGTGGCCATATTCATAAATAAAAACACTCGTATGTCAAATCATTGTCCTCCATTTAAATAAATGGAAATGACAATCTGTTCCAACCTTTGTGCCAGAGACATAAAAGAAGAGTTTCACAATTGACTCAATTAGCTGCTCTTACGCTTGTCTTTTTTGTTGTTGTTGTCGAGGACAAACAATATTGGGCCATGAGTGTTGTTATAATGTCTGTCTACATGTGTTGCTACACTGTTAGCATTGAAATAATCATTGCTCAAAGGATTAAAATACTGCGACTGTCAATACTATTCATTTTGTCATCTTACGGGGTTTTTCATTGTATGTTAGTATGAAGCTTGTGCGCAATCTAAAGTAAAAGGTGAGTCCCAATCACCTTCCAGTCTTGGCTATGTCATCCATCCATTTTCCAATCCGCTTTATCCTCACAAGAGTCACGGGGGGTGCTGGAGCCTATCTCAGCCATCTTCGGACAGTAGGCGGGGAACACCGTGAACCGGTTGCCAGCCAGTCGCAGGGCACACACAAATGAACAACCATCCACGCTCACACTCACACCTAGGGACAATTTAGAGTGTTCAGTAAACCTGCCATGCATGTTTTTGGAATGTGGAAGGAAATCGGAGTACCCGGAGAAAACCCACGCAGGCCCGGCCGGGGAGAACATGCAAACTCCACACAGGGAGGCCGGAGCCGGAATCGAACCCTGCACTCTGAGGTCGACGCGCTAACTGCGCCGCCAGCTGTGTTATTTACATTTTAATTATTATACATTTTATTTCAGATGTTACTCAAAGATTACATGTAGTGGTACTAAAGGTTTTATGGTGGGGACAGTTTGCGATTTCCATTATTCTGTTGGGAGAAATTGTTTTGTAATCTTAGGGGGGCCCGGTGTAGTTTGAACTCCAACTCTACAGCGGGCAGCATGAAACCAGAATGTTCTGCACCATTACAAAAAAGAAGGAAATGCAACATGACCACATCATGATTAAAGGGCCATTCCACAGATCTGAATAGGTGACGGGACAAAGCAACCCAGGTAAGCCGCGTGCCTAAGTGGTCTTCATGTTGGTAGCGTTAACTTTCCCGTCAAAGGCAATGCATATATATTGAAAATAAATTGAAAACGGCTTATTCATGTCAGCCTTAGCTTTTGAATTGTATTTGACATTACACATCTATATATCATATCAGTGTCTCAATTAATAGATGTGTCATAAAATCGAACAAATAAACACAAAACCCCAAATATGCGCCTCCCTATTTCCTCTCAGAAGAAGACGATAAGAGCTTTTACGACAAGACACTGTCGTCTGTCTCTCTGTCTGTCTGTCTGTCTGTCTGTCTATCGATCGATGGCTCTGCGAGTGCCTTCTACTGGGCCTCCTTCTATTCATCTGCAAAGCAGCCAAAATAATTCTGATGATGTTTGTTCCTGAGTAAGAATTTAAAGTGGCTACGTTTATTAATGTATTTATTTTAAAGAGTCACGAATGTGGTCGGGAAAAAAAAATCGCTAAACTGGCAACACCAGTGTCTCTGTTTGGCGCCATGTTGTTGGTGCAAGCAGTGCACATCGGTGAAGATACACTTTGAGCTCAGGAAGGTGCAAAAACAATCATCTTGAGCAATCAACCTGAAATAATCGATATCATTGATTTATCACTGTGCCCTAATCAGAAAACACTGTCACTAAGTCTGGTAGTTCAACTAAAGCGTGCCCACACACACACACACACACACACACACACACACACACACACACACACACACACACACACACACACACACACACGCCATCGAAACCGCTCATTAAATGGCGCTGAGTGTGCTCATTAGGAGATTCTGCAGACTGTCGCCCATTTTGCCAAAGCTTCATCAGAAGATAGCAATCAACCTCCATGTTATCTACCCCCCCTCCTTCATCCCCTTTTTTCTCCAAATGGACTTTAATCCGACATTTTATCTGGATATATAGTTTCAAGATAACTGCAGCTCACTTTGCATCCTGCCTGTGGGATAGGGTGCATGTCTGACTGCTTTGGCGTAATTAGCTGCTAGGGTGAGATACATTTTATTATACGCTTTACTAGACTGTGACTTTTCATGAGCTTTTTGTGTGTGTGTGTGTGTGTGTGTGTGTGTGTGTGTGTGTGTGTGTGTGTGTGTGTGTGTGTGTGTGTCTCTTCAGTGTGATGGATCGTATAGGATGGACACAATTAGCCACCATATAGACGAGGCCAAAACAAAGTCAAACACAAATAACCTGACAATGCATTTTTATGATATTTTCTCAAGGCTTCAGCAGTGGAGTTCCCATCTGGCACCTCTCCCTTTCATGTCCATGCCGGACTCTCTAAATTTATCTCAGGGACTACTCCTACATCTGACTGAAGGACAGCATGGAAAATCATTATGGCAGGAGGAAAAGTGGAGCATTTATTGGATGAGGGGGGGAGGGTGGAGCGCAGTTGATAACCACAACAACGGGCATATTTCTAAAAAGAATGCTCACAACAACAGGATCATTGCTATTGTGTCGATCAGTCAACTTTTTAAATGGGTGTGGTTTTAAATTGCTTTTGTTCCCCTTAGAAAAGAAATGTGCGCACTTACAAGTGAAAGTGTACATCTTCCAAATGAATGCAGACCTCCAAAAATACACCACCTCTTTTCTACTTGACAATTGTGATCCTAATCTGTTGTTATTTCAGGGTGTGGTCTTTTTTGGGGGGTGGGGGGGTACCCTACTCTCGTAGATGTCCTGTCTCAAATAGTTGTTGGATTCGGAGAATGTGTGAGCAGATTAGTAAACATATCAGTTCATTAAGGGAAATATTTTTTTGCCATACCCCGGCACCCGCGGAGCTCCATAATAGACTTACAAAGCTTAATTCATGAGTTCAAAGAAAATATCTCACATTTTCATTGTGGTTATAACAATAAGGCCTGCAACTGAATAGTTCAATCCTTCAACTACAAAAAAAAAAAAAAAACCTAAATTCATGCATTTAAAAAGTCATACTTGAATAAATACATGACATGATATAAAAGGATGTCAACCCTGGCTTGTGTCACCTCAAATTCTGATAGGTTGCCGTGGCGATCAACCTGCTGTCAGAAGCTGGCTCAGCCTGCCACCCTCCCTCCCGTTCGCTCACGCTCCTTGGCGCTCTGCATCCTTTCACTCATCCTCTACTTCACTTTCTCTGAGCTTGGATCCAGCACAGTCTTTATCCAGCAGCCAGGAAAATGAAAGGCAGTTTTTGCCTCCTTTTTGCGTCCACCTATTCCATCTTATTCTTACATCTTCAGGGTGAGTTGGAATGCTCCTGCTGTGTGACTTAACATAAAAGGATTTACTGGGAACATGGTTAATTCTGTATCGGATAATGCTTTTCAACAGAACGTTTTAACCCTGTAACAAAGCTTTAGGTGACTTGATATGTGTGCGATTTTTGTGACATTTGTATATATATATATATATATATATAGAAAAAACAGTATATATATAATTTTCTCTGGCACAATACGTGGTTTCATAACTTTTTTTATCTGTTCATTTTATGAATTTTATTTTTTAACAAGCACTCTATTTGAATTTTGCCTAAAATAAACACATAGAAAAAGAGAAGACAGTCATTGCATTATGGAGTGCATTAAATTGTGTGTGTATATATATATATATGTGTGTGTGTGTGTGTGTGTGTGTGTGTGTGTGTGTGTGTGTGAAGTTAATTTTGTATTTTTTTTTAATTTACTTCCACACAAAAAAATGAAACATCATATTTTTGGACATCCATAGCCACAGAGTTAATATATGCTCTCTACAACCTAAACTTTATTTATTAAGTTTATGTTCATCACCAAAATGTCAGCAAATAATATTTTTTTAAATATATATATTTGACATATATTGTTTTATCTGCAAACACTGCCTGCACCTTGTCTTCAATTATTTTTAAAGGTCTATTTGTTCCCTCCTTTCCCCTAAAGAAAAAAAAAATCACTAAATATAATCGCAGGTACTGTATATGGACAACGTATCAATTTCTGTCCGTCTCTCTGTCCTGTGACATCAGGAGGCGCATGTTCAGAGGGTGAGCACAAGCTCTTCTCCGTCATCTTCTCCAAGTACAATCAGTTCATTCGACCGGTGGAGAACGTATCTGAGCCGGTCATTGTGCAGTTCGAGGTCTCCATGTCCCAGCTGGTCAAAGTGGTGAGAAGCTCGGTTGCCTATACTGTACGTCTATACTCGGCGAGGATTTATGGAGCGGCTCCTTCTAACATTCATCACTCTGTTTAATGAGCATGGAGTCATGACTGATGGGCAACGGTGCATGATGGCACCGTGACAATTTTGGGTTTGGGTGCATTATCAGTCATCCAGATCATGGCAATTCACAAGGGTGGAATAGAGCCAACTGGGCTTGTTTTTCATTTGTTGTTGTTTTTTTTTTCTGTAGAGATTAAAATATGATTTTGGGAATTACAGTGTCAAGACAACAAAATGTTGAAAAATTCCAACTCATGCTATATGACTTAACTTCCTCCAATGGAAAGTCAAAGCTCGGAAGCAGAATACATATGTTTTTTTTAATGTTTGTTTGTGATTGTGTTTTTTGAGTTTATTTTATGAAATATATTTAAGACCACACCCTTCCAAGAAACACACATATACTGAAGCATAGTGAGCCGGATTACTGTTCTTGGTTGTTTAATTTCACAATCTCCCTCATATGTCCCGCTTGCAATCCAGTTAAATCCGCCTGAACTGCCCAGAAAGCTGAGAGCACGCAAGTGTCAAGGGGGACGCTCGCACATGACAGTATTCTCCCTGTTTTTGCTGCTAAAATATTCAAGCGTGACTCGTCCTAAAATCCTCTCTCGCGCACTGTTGTCAGGATGAAGTCAACCAGATCATGGAGACCAACCTGTGGCTGAGACACGTAAGTTTTTTAAAAATTATTTCCATTTCAATAATTATCCACTTTTTTCACTTATTTCCTCAAATAATTTTCTTTTTGAAATTATTTAAATTTTCAATGCTTTATTTCGTCTGACCAATAGTTGGGTGACTTATCGGTCAGGGACACTGAACAATTGATTAAATGAATTTAATGGGCCAACTGTGTGCAGCTTTGTTATCTTTATGGAATGTGCCATATTTTACTCCTTTGTTTTGTTTTGTTTTTTTGTTTTTTTTTACAGACATATTTATTCGTACCTAAAAGGGAGGCGACAATTAAGGCACCCCCCACACACACATTTAATTAAGTGCAAGTTTTACTACACCCACTGGCTGCCCCTCTATTGTCGCTTTTAAGACTTTTTCAAGGACTGCCAACAGTAAAAAGGCCCGTTAAGCACATTTTACTTCCTTCTGTGCTAACTGAATAACTTGACTCTTTTTTAATTGTTTCTATTGGGAGTGGGGGTCTGGGTTAGAGGGGGCAGGTGGGTTTACAATCAAAGCACGTTAGTTTCATCTTAGGTTATATGGTGCAATTTATGACCTCCTTTTGTGTTAAGTTTTATGTTGCACCAGCCACAAATTTTTTGATGTTTCTTACGACCACTGAACCATCCAATGGTCTTGATTTGCCACTTGCTCGGAAGGTAAATTTACATGAACATGTGTATCAGGCTTGAATGCGCTATAGAAGGAGTCTTCACATCCTACCATCTGTCATAAATTCTTGTTTTATTTTTCTCCTTAATTCACCAAAACCTGGTGATGAACTTGTCATTTTTTAGATCTGGAATGACTACAAACTCAAGTGGAATCCAAAAGATTTCGGAGGTGTCGAGTCCATACGCGTGCCGTCCAACAGGATATGGAAGCCTGATATTGTGCTATACAACAAGTGAGTGTTTTGGTTTTTAATGGTTATGCAAAAACAAATTAAAATGGAATCCAGCAATTCCTTTGAGGTTTTTTTTAAGTGTCCCACAAAGGGCTGCCGTATTTTTATAAAGTACTTCAACACTTTGAATCAAAACAATCATTGGATTCCATGAAACCACCTTGAGGACAAGCATTATAGAAAATGGATAGGAGGATGTTTGGAGGGCTGTTGGGAACTAAGTGTAAAAAAGAAATGAACAAAACAGAGGCCATGTTAAAAATGATTTTGAACCAAAGTCCCAGTGAACTCGCTGAGATCGTTCTCCATGGATTGGTTCACTTTTTCGTATGCTTCTGGAAGACTGAGTTCAGTTTGTTTAAAAAAGGACAAATCGTTTCTCAAATTGTGTTCTTGTCCGTTCCTACGTCTTTGTGATCTTGGGATCGGTTCCCACATGGTGTGGATGTGGGTCTGAAAGGTCTACATGGGACTCGAGACTGGTGACCAGTTCAGGGTATAGTCCGCCTTTTGCCCTAAATCTGCTGGGATAGGCTCCAGCACCCTCCCGCAACCCTGTTCAGGATAAGCGGTGTTTAAAACGGTTGGTACTATGTACAGGTATCACTGGAGTACGTCATAGGTGGGAGGGGGAGTGAAAAAGCATCCAGTTATTCCATTTTACAGAGACTCGCGTTCTCGCGTACGTTCTTAGGAAGACTGAGCTTGGCTAGTTCACAAGACCATACTCTACTTTCTTCATGTTGAGAAACGGTCAATGAGAACACGCCTGAGAGCTCAAAGTTGGTTCCTCCATCCCGCCTTTGTTTTTCTTCACAGTGCAGTCGGAGATTTCCAGGTCGATGACAAGACTAAGGCTCTGCTCCGGTACAACGGCGAAGTCACGTGGATCCCTCCCGCTATCTTCAAGAGCTCGTGCAAGATTGATGTGACTTACTTCCCCTTCGACTACCAAAACTGCACCATGAAGTTCGGCTCCTGGACCTACGACAAGGCCAAGATCGACCTGGTGCTGATTGGCTCCACCATCAACCTCAAGGACTTCTGGGAGAGCGGCGAATGGATGATCATTGACGCCCCAGGCTACAAGCACGACATCAAGTACAACTGCTGCGAGGAGATCTACCCGGACATCACCTACTCGTTGTACATCCGCCGGCTGCCGCTCTTCTACACCATCAACATGATCATCCCCTGCCTGCTCATCTCCTTCCTCACCGTGCTCGTCTTCTACCTCCCGTCCGACTGCGGCGAGAAGGTTACGCTTTGCATCTCCGTGCTGCTCTCCCTGACCGTCTTCCTCCTGGTCATCACCGAGACCATCCCCTCCACCTCACTAGTCATTCCGCTGATCGGCGAGTACCTCCTTTTCACCATGATATTCGTCACCCTCTCCATCGTCATCACCGTGTTCGTGCTTAACGTCCACTACCGCACGCCCAAGACGCACACCATGCCGCGGTGGGTGCGCGGCGTCTTCCTGGGGCTGCTCCCCAAAGTCATGTTCATGACCCGACCGGAGAGGGATCCGGAGAAGACGAACCAGACCGTTCAGATGATCCACCCGAGACCGTGCGGCGTTCCCGCGACAGGACCTCAACACAAGGCTCGGGCTCTGGCCTCCAGCGTGGTGTCCAGCCTGACCAACCGCCAGAGGCTCCCAAACAATACAGAGCTCACCAATCTCAACAACTTGAACGCAATTGAGCTGGCCAAAAGCGCCGGGTCAGATTCACTGTGCTGCGAGGGGCGTTGCAACAGCTGCTGGCATCAGAGGTCCGGGAAACTGCCAACAGACTCCGGAGGAGGTGGCGGATTGAGCTGCCTTGGGGTCCTGACCGGAGGCGGCGTGCCTGGAGCAGGGAGTCGATGCTCCAGCTCGGAGTCTCTGGATGCGGGAGTCTTGACTTTGCTCCCGTTCTCCCCTGAGATCAGGGAGGCGCTTGAGAGCGTCAAATACATCGCTGAGAACATGAGAATGCAGAATGAGGCGAAGGAGGTGAGCGCTCAATCATGCCGGGTAGACAGTTTGAGCATTTTCTTCCTTTGCGATTAAACTCGGCAAAGGCCCGATTTTCAGGTGCCTCTAAATGGTTATCCTGAGTGATTAACCTGAACAACTGGATGAGTTCCGGTGCATACTAATAAAACCAACAATGTCCACACTTTCACAGAAAGCATCAAACTCTTTTTAATTAAGAAACCTCCACTGTCACAGTCACTCGCAGATGAATGTCTGGCTCCCAAATGCTGACAGAACAATCGTTTTCCAGACCCAAATTGTTTCATCTGGGATCGACTCATTCACAATTCACAGTTTATTGTCTTGTTCAGGCTAAAGTGGCGTAAAGTGGTCCCCCACATATTTTTGGCGCGTCAATGTGAAATCTGGGCCTGTCTATTTGAACTCAAAGCTGGTATTCTTTGAATGGCAACAGGTGGCTGTGCAGATTAATTGTACCTTCAGCCTTCAAGTGGAAAAGCGTTTAATTCTTCTGTCTGCCACTACTCATCGCTGTCTCCGATGGATGATCAAACACTCATTCATTCGTTCCGTCAGATTTGTCACGGACCAACAAAGAGAAAATGGATCATTTCCTGCAGCCAACCCGTTATCCTGAGTGGGTAATCACATTTTTTTGGTTAATCCTGTTCAAGATTTCTAATGCAAATCCGTTTTATATGATATGTCTCACGAGCCATTCACTTTAAGATGTTGTGATTTGAGTTGACAGTGAGCATTCTATTCCTTCTTCTACTTCTTTTCTTTTGTTTCCATCAGTGTGGATGTCTTTTGGCACATTGTTGCCCCACAAAAGTCAGTCTTGATCCAATGACAGACATTCAATTTGGAGTAGGAGATTGTCAGTGCAGATTTGATTATGTGTGATGTGCTATATGGGTAATCTCAAGTACATTTGATATTATTCTTTTTTTCTCATCACGTGTGTGCGGTCTCGGTTATCGTTAACATTTTTGGTACCGTACGTGTGGACAAGTTTGATGGCACATAAGGGTCCAAAGCGAGGAGCATGACCGTAATTTTCATATTTTCACTTCAGAGAGTTCATTGTGGCAGTACGGCGGGATACACAGTCAGGAAATATGGGTTCGAATCTTTACATGCACTAAGCATACATTTGTGGACTTTCCCTAAAAACATGCACGTAAGATTCACTCAAGGCTGTAAATTGCCCGAGATGTGAATGTAAGATTGAATGGTTGTCTTTATGTGCCCAGCGATCACCTGGCCTCGCGAACAGTCCAGGTGAAGCCCAACTCATGGCTAAAATCAGCTGAGCAAGACTCCAGCTCACCCATGTCACGAATGAGTACAAGCATCCTCCTTATGTCCGTATAATTACGGATGGAATTTGCCATTATTTCAGTCACTGTAATCCGTGGAGTTTGCCTTTTTCTTTTTCTAACAGTTTACAGTCTGGTTAACGGGACGTAATGTGTGATGTTGGGTGTGGTGTCTTCAATGACGAGGCAGACACATGCGTTTTCTATCGTGTTATATTTGACCGTGTATTCGATGCATGAGCAACGTGGGGAATGAGCCTTAAACATTTGAGGTGACATTTCACGCATGCGCAGTCGATGGCAATGCAAGGTACGGGAGTCAATGCATCCAAACAACATACAAACAACTACAATACATGTACTGTATAGTGGTTAATACACCACATTGGGAATAAACAATGGTCCTATCTTTTGTAAAGAAGTACTCATCATCATCAATTAACAAATTTAACTCACAACCTTCCCTTTAAATTTATGACCTTGATGGAGGTAATACTGATCGGGTTTTGGTGGACCGGCAATTTAAGTGAGTTTTCAAAATGCCTGCATGGACAGGAAAAACTTCTTGATTGTAAATACCTCGTGTTCATTCCCTGCTTTGTCATTGTCGCTCCTCTCACAGGTTCAGGACGATTGGAAATACGTCGCCATGGTGATCGACCGCATCTTTCTGTGGGTTTTTGTCCTGGTGTGCATCCTGGGAACCGCCGGCCTTTTCCTCCAGCCTCTTCTACTTGGGGAAGACATATGAATGAATACCTGTTATGTTTGTATTTTTTTTAACAATTCAGACGGTCAGAATGCACAGATTTTTAGGACATTTTAAAAGACAAGACACAAACGTAACAACGTCAGTCATCTCACATACGAAACCAAAAGGATTTGTAATTGGTCTTCGGAGAAACAAAAATTGAACGGCGGCATGAACATCAGATTATGATGAATGAGTGACACCGTTCGGCGATGCCACGGTACTACAACAAATGGTGGTCTGACGACAACTTGCCTGCAACTGTGGCGTGTAGAAGGTTCCTCTCCCCCAAATTGGAGCTTATCCAACCTGACTGTGCGAGAGGCAGGGTACACCCTGGACTGGTCGTCACCCACATGGCACATCTAGACAAACACACTTATTCACTCTGGGTAATTTAATGGAAGGAAATTTTATTTATATAGCGGATTTTAACTGAAATGACTATAGGAAGGCACAGTGCAAGACGTGTTTTTTTTGGGGGGGCGAGGCAGGTACACGTTTTAAAAATGCTTTAGAGCACCTCACTCATAAATAACTATGGCAGAAAAAAATTTATTAACTGAATTTAAAAACATTCAGAGGGCTGACTTCACAACTGCTGGTCACTGATTCCATTTCGATGCAGTAGAACATAAATGCTGCATTACCACATTACTCTTAACTTTGGTCTCCAGTTATTGTATTCAGGACCTAAAATCAATTTTTGTGTCTTCAATTCACCTAACCTGCATTTTGTATTGTGAGGAGGGCCTCAGGTGAGATTGAAGCCCAATTAAGGGACATCATAAATGGATCAAAAAATTATGTACCACCATCGGCTTTGGGATCTAAAGGTGCCAAAATGATAAATAAAAACTGTAAATACTTAGACCATTTTGACTTCCTCTATCTGTGAGTGAATAAATCACTGTGAGATGAAGCCTTAGGGACTGAGGGTTTCATTTCCGAGAAGCCGGCAAGGCTCCACTTATCACTTCTCTATATCGCCCGAGTCCCCAACCTCCACGCTTCCCGAGACAATGTCATCTGATCGGACAATCAAAAATGAGAGCCTGTGATAAAGAGTCCTCGCGCTTTTCTTCATGGAGACTCACTTTCTGGCATAAAAAAGGTCGTTTGACTGCTCTTTGCATCCTGGAGTCTGCACCCTGCTGTCAAGTATGTCAAGGAGTACAAAGTGCAGATGAACGATTTCACTGTGGTGTTTAGTGGAAGTGGATGAAATATTCATGACATGCTTGAGTTTCTCATTTTCAAAAGATAGAAAATTCAGCCCGGAATGAGTGCTGGGAGGGGAAAATGATAGGAAACAATTTCTTTGATGCTCACTTTGAGTGATGGTGGAGGACCCCATAAAGCAGGCAGGAAGGAAGAGCAGGGTGAACTAGACAAACATTATTAACAAAAGACTGAGGAAACTAAATCCAACACAAAGTCATGAAAACAAAAAGAATCCAAAGTAACAAACAAAAACCATGGCTGAAGCAAAAAACTAACAGAAACAGCAACAGAGACAATGACCCAACACCGAGTGGGCGTGTCGGTAGTCCTTTTAAACAGACAACTAATGACACAATGACCAACAGGTGTGCAGCTGCAGGTGGAGTCCTACAGAGCCACCTGTTGGTCACAAACAGAACCATGACAAATCCAGCTATTTCCCCGTGAAGATTTATTCAAGATGTATTTATTCTTTTTCATTTTTCTCATTTAATAATTGGTATTGTTGTTAAGTTTATTGTATATAATATGTCAACTAAAGAAACAATTTTACAGATGCTGTATATTTTTTAATATTTTATGAAAATATTTTTTCATTACATTATTGGTTACTGATGTATAAATACATATAATTCCATATTATTTATAATTATATGGCAATGAAATCATTTTGTTTTTTTACCTTAATAATTAAATGAAAATGAAACATAATATCATTCAAAGTTAGCCGGCATGGACCAAATGGTCAAAAAAGCTTGCCCACTTTTGCCTTCAAGGGTCAAAATGGCTCAGTACGGGACTGGTGAAGCCCGGAAGCTCCAGATCCAACGATTAGGTGAAGTGATTAAACAGTTGGTTGCTTCATTTTTAATGATTGACTAGTACTTACATGATAACACGAATTGAGCCCAAAACACCTCCCAACTGTTGAATTTCAATTCATTACACAATGCCAAACTTTTTGATGCCTGTCGTGGATTCAGAAACTCTTTCTTATCAGTCAGTAAATAAGAATGGTGCAGTGCTCCGGCACGTTTTCATCCACAGAAGATCCAGATACATGGAACCTTCCAATACCAGCTTCGAAGTTTCTTTGGTTCGGTCTTCGGCGAAGGAGCTGGTCACAGATCTTAGTTTTCGTGGGTTTTCTTTGACTGTCTTTTGAAAAGGCGATCCCAACCTTTCTTTGGCCATGCAGGCAGATCTTCCTATTGGCCTTGTCTTGAGTAAACCCTTCAGAGAGCTTTCATTAGTTGTCGCATGTCAATATCAAACACACACACACAAACACACTCACACACACGCATGTGGTATTCCAAACAGTTTGACAATCTAACATACAATTATTGATATTATCATCAATAATTAGGAGATACACAGCACTAAATAGTGTGATTGCTCATAATACCGTCAAAAGAAGCAGCTCATTTTCGATTTGTTTTGAAGACATGTGTCCTCAAAAACACAACCGGAAGCAAAAACATCACTGCCGCTGTTGTAAAGAAAGTAACGACAATGTCCACATTGTAGTAGGCGTACCACGGCAGCTTGTAGGACTCGGTCCTCAGGTGAGCTGCGCCCTTGTGCCTCATGACAAACTCAATCCAGAAGAGGGCGTTGTCGAGCGGCGGGATGGGCTGATCTCTGTGCAGCCTGGACAGCCTCTGCATGCTGTTCCTGTAGGACGGATTGGTAAGAACTTCCTGTAGGGCCTTCAGGAAGCTGTCATCTTTATCCATCGAGGCTAACGTGACCACCACAGCCGCTCCTCTCTCCGTGAGGCGCAGCAGGTTGTCATGCTGGTCAAAAAACAAAGGTATTCCCACTACTGGAACGCCATGGTAAATCGCTTCTTGGACACCGTTCGTCCCACCATGAGCCACGAAGAGCTTCACTTTGCGATGTCCCAGGAGGTCATTCTGCGGCATCCAGTCCACTATGAGAGTGTTGTTGCCCAAAGTGGAAGGTTTTGTTCCTCTGTAGCTCCAGATGACCTTCTGGGGGAGCTTAGCGAAAGCCGCCGCAATTTCATCAGCGAAGTCGCTAGGAAGTTCCCCGATGAGAGTCCCCAAAGACATGACGATGACTCCGTGTTGTCCAGAACTCTGCACAAACTCCTCCAGGTGGTTGGGAAGAGGTTCTGCAGGCTTACATTGGAAACCTCCTATGTAGATGATGTTGGGCATGGTGGGGCGAGGAAACTCAAAGACAAAATCCGCTCTCATGAGCCACATGTCTGCTTTTTGAAGAAGTTCATCAAATCTCACCTCTGGGCCAAAGAACTGGTTGCAAACAGCCTGATATTGCGGTATGATGGTAAAGGCGTACAGAGCTTCCCCGCTGACAAAGTACACAAGATTCTTGACCCTCTGAAGAAAAGTCATCTTATTAGACAGTCCAGAGCCAGTCATGGGAACGTAAGACAAAGGCGAAGGCGCCAGGACCAGATGCCCCTCCTTACACATCACCCAGCGCACATTATAAACCAAAGGTAACTGTAGAGCATGAGCCAAAATGACACCCGTGCCCATGGTGGGGTCAGTGAGGAGGAGGTCATACCGACGCTCCTTCAGACGAGACATTAAATTGTCGTCTTGTAATATGGCACTGGTCAATGTGCACATGATCTTGCCCGTACCGGACATTGCTTCAAACATTTGAAGCTGCAGACGCACAAAGTTCATCACTGAGCTTCCCTCGCGCTCCAGAGCAAAAGTCGTTTTCATCAGGGAGTCGACAAAGGCCGGGTCGAACGCTTCGTTGACAGACACCGTGATGGGGCTGTAGTGCGGCATGCTGTCCTTGATGTACCAGCTTTTGTCGGTCCGAATCACGTCCACGGAGTGTCCGTGAGAATGGAGTGCTTTAATCAGGACCTCCATGTTCACCCAGTGGCTGCCCTCGAATGGGACCACTAGAATTTTGCCACAGTAACAAGCTCTCCATGACGACAACAACAACACGAAGGATGCTTGAAAGAAAAGCGAGTTTCCATGCAGGGGCATCGTGAACCTGAAGAAGAAAACAACATGAGCTCCGATTTCACTTTTATTTTCAAGAGTCAGATTGTAAACGTACCTTATTTATACGGAGCAGCCGAGATCATACACACCATATTGGATTCCTCAAGTGTGACTTACTGAGCGGACACATGACGAGAAATCCTTTGCATAAGCGAACATTAGCTGTTTTGTTTTCCCTCTTCTGGAATGCTGATCCGTTTCAGCCAGAGTCACATCTGTTTTCACTTTTCATTGTACATGTGACTGAGTTTTATTTCCCTTATTTTATTTTGAAGTAACTACACTGTGCACGGCTGAAGTGGGACCTTATGGTTCATACGTCCGGCTCGCAGTTTAGAGGTTCAGGGTTGGAATTTCGGCTCTGTGGGTTTTCTCCCAGTACTCCCGTTACCTTACACGTGTTAATTTAAGTGTCGAGGTCAGGGATGTGCTTTCATCATGGGCCACTTTGTAGCATGGTTGCTCTCAACGGCTGGTCATAATGGCAAAATCGTCTATATTTTGAAATTTGACATCTATTCAATCGACAATTTATATTAGAAATGTCGATTTACATGGCAGGGAAAAAAGGCATGGTTCTGCTACCTTAAAGAAAGGTGTGGGGCATACATTTTAACTCAAGTTTAAGTTATCAAATATGGTTCCTTACTCTGTCAAGAGGTACATGGCCCAAATCTAGAAGAGAATAGTTTATTTCACGTTTTGTTTATTGTTTTATTCTGTAACCCTTGTCCTCATTCACCCGAATGTGTCTCAACTGGAGTCTAACCAAGCTGACTTTGGGTGAAAGGTGCAGGTCACTCTGGACTAGTCCGACAATCGTTAGGCACATAGAGACAAATCACCACACTTACACCCGTGCACTATTTTGAATCTTTAATGAAAATAACACACACAATTTTTGCATGTGGGAGTAAGTTGGGGTACCCAAGGAAAACCCATGCGCGGACAGACACAACACAGGAAGGCCAAAGGCAAGATCCGAACCCCAGATTCCGTCTTTGAATTGTGAAGCAGACTGCTTGTCCACGTATTTAGCTTCCAAACGTAATTCCGTTTCACTACAAGGATCATAGGAAAAATCTGAAGGCACATACAAACACATTCTACGAATAAATAACAAACTCACTTTTAACAAATGATTAAGAATTAAATCTTCCACCCTCATAGAGCGTTCAGCTGTGTGTCATTTTGTAGTTTATGATCTGGTGATTCAAGCATTTGGTGCAGTACCTTTTAGTGCTGCGATTAAAATGCACTCACACTGACTGCCCGGGTTGATGTTTATCCGCAGTCTCTTCACGCAGACGCTTCAAGGAACATGTTGGTACGGATGCGTGGCATCACTCAGCTGCAGGTCCGTGCATGCACACACGACAAGAAACGGAGCTTGTTTTGTGCTACAGAGGAGAATAATCCCAGTGCTGGCTGAAAAAGGGCAAAGTCCAACAAAACATGCTTGAGTTTACCGGTTGCACTTTCACCTCAAAGGGGAAGTCTGCAATTCACAAAAAAACAAAACACTTTTGGGTCAAAATTTTGAGAGCTATGAGTAAACTTGACAATAGTACATTAGAACATGAACATGCCCATTACTCGTTTGCGAACCACTGATTCAGAAGCACTGATGAATTTGCGAAATTTCTGCTTGCCAGGTAAGTTTATCACCTTTTTTGGATTTTTACTTTATTTGTGTTATACTGTAGTAACACTCGATACTTCACGCTACCGACATAGCGTAATCTGGACCCTAGCCGCTGATGTGCCTCACTTCCATGTCAGCAAACCTTCAAAGGGCACCTCCAAAATGTTTGGGGACGATAATGCTGGCCCATTTGTAGATAACCGGGATGAAGAGGAGAGCCGAGCCCAGGACAGACACCAACAGGAACGCCCAGAGAAACATTCGATCCAGAACCTGGGCAACAAACTTCCAGTCCTGTACCACCTGCAGCCCCCACACCCCAAAAAGAAACAAATAAAAGGCAATTAACTGTTTTGTTCTGGTGCTCGTGTGTGTTTTCTCCGGGTACTCTGACTTCCTCCCAAATTTCAGGCTCCAAAGGCTTGATTTCTAACTTTTGTAATTTTACATGAAGACTCCCACAAGGTTCAGTTCTTGGCCCTGTGTACCACCTGCAGCCCCCACACCCCAAAAAGAAACACATAAAAGGCAATTAACTGTTTTGTTCTGGTGCTTGTGTGAGTTTTCTCCGGGTACTCTGACTTCCTCCCACTATCTCAAAGACCCATTGTGAAATGAATTTCAGGCTCCAAAGGCTTGATTTCTAACTTTCGTAATGTTACATCAAGACTCCCACAGGGTTCAGTTCTTGGCCCTGGATCGTTTATAATCAATATGCTTCTGTTTGGTGACATTATATGGAACAATAACATTAGTTTTCGTAAATTTACTACAGTATTACCCAAAGTAACTCAGTCAAAGAATCGTGGTGTTATATTTGACTCAACTCTCGATATACATACAGACACAAGGGTGAAGTACAAAACCACAGGACAATGGCTGCTGGGCTACAAGTGCCACACAACTAAAGTGGAAAATAACAAACCCAAATAATTGCTGTAATCTGGAGGCATGCCGTGCTAAGATTAAACTACGGTCTATGTCAATTTTTTTGCTTTTGAACCCTGATAAAACTGAGATATTGATGACTGGCCCCGTTCGTCATCAGCAAATGTTTCACGACATCACTCCGAGTCTCGGTAAATTTACTACAGTATTACCCAAAGTAACTCAGTCAAAGAATCGTGGTGTTATATTTGACTCAACTCTCGATATACATACAGACACAAGGGTGAAGTACAAAACCACAGGACAATGGCTGCTGGGCTACAAGTGCCACACAACTAAAGTGGAAGCACTGGATCCCACAATCCTGGTTATGCAACCACTTTGTCAGACCCATGAAACAGGCCCCTGCTTGTCTTTTGTACTCCTGCTCTCATTCCTTTGGTTAATTTCTTGCAGGACATGGGGATAAAACAGCCATAACTGTGGAGGCAGATTGTGGGCAGACAACAAGTTCAGTGAGAGAAAACTTCGGGAAAAATGTCTGTGCCTTTTTGCAGCTGTGACACCATGAACGAATGTGGGAAACTTCCTGGATTCTTTTGTTGTTGTACTTTGAGGGTCATTTTATTTATAAGCAGCCTTTCCCACAGCAGATGGATTGGTTTAATCCATCAGGTGACCTTCCAACTTGTGGGTAGCTGAGGTCGATAAAAACCCCACAATTTGTTTTGCTATTTTCACATTAGCTATGATTTTTACAGTTTCACAGAATGAAGGAGAACCGTTAATTGAGCTCCGTCATGCAGGCATTCTTTGAGGAGTTTTGGCATCAAGGTTTGCTAGACGCCGTCTGCATACAAATGGCAGGAGGCATTCACTGTTGCCCTATCAAGTGTGAAGTATTTTCAGAACAGGGAGCAGTGCATCCAAATACTTGAGAGTAGCTCGGGGCTTGTATGGGCAAGCTCGAGTGTCAGACATTGGGTTCCCAGCACTGATGGCTCTGGGCAGAAGAATCGTCAATTTTGCATCCGACCTTTGCATGGATCTTCAAATGCCGGATGGCATTTCCAGAAAGTTGGCGCGTGTCACTGTCTTTGTTTCACGGATGTGGATTGTTGCCTCCACATTAAATAACGAAGCGCTGACCTATGTACATGCACGTACGATGTGCACACTGCACTTAGCCATCGTCGATGACCCATAGCCTCAGAGTACTCTCAGTGATACCCTGAGAGTGCATGACCTTAGAAAATATATATAATATTTTTTCATCACCATGTGTGTGTGTGGGGGGGGGGGGGTCTATCAAGTTTTAAAAATAACTGTGCTTTCATATTATGTAAAATAGATGCAGATCAAATAACAGACTCACCTCTCTGACCTCATTTTCTTTCACCACATGCATGGTTATGTAGCGGATGGAATCCAGCGCAGCTTGGATGTTGTGTCTGGCGTGAGAGAGGTCGCGCTCAGTCGTACAGTCCTTCATCAATCCCAATCCCAGCACCCGTCCCGTGTGTGCCGCTCCCGCTGTGCCGTAGCGGTCCACGTGGCCGCGCATGCACAGCACCTTGGGCAGTCGATGCAGGAATATCCTGCGCACCCACGGCGCCATGCTGTTATGCGTCGAGGAGGAGCGGTGGTGGACGTTAATGGTGAAGACGGTGATGACGATGGAGAGCGTGACGAATATCATGGTGAAGACCAGATACTCGCCGATGAGAGGGATGGCCTTAGACGAGGAGGGGATGATCTCCTCGATGACCAGCAGGAAGACAGTGAGCGACACCAGCACTGAGGTGCACAGGGAGATCTTTTCGCCGCAGTTGGAGGGCAAGTAGAAGACGAGGATGGTGAGGAAGGACAAGCCGATGCAGGGGATGATGAGGAAGAGGGTGTAGAAGAGGGGCAGCCGGCGGATGATGAAGAAGTAGGTGATGGTGGGATATGAGACGCCGCCGTCCACCCTCAGACCGCGGCTGCCTGTGGCCTTCACAATCTCCCATTCGCCATTGTCAAAATAGTCCTGCCTATCCACGTGGAAGTCCTCCAGAATGACGTCGACCTGCCGAAGAAAGATCACCTGGACGTCACACGACCGATGTCTACGCCTCAATTTTGAGATGCAGTGAACCGTGGTTCGCCATTCACGAATTCACCTCTTTGCATTTTTTTCTGTGGAACCCATCTCGAACTTTTTGTTGTAGTACCTCACGGTACCACAGAATGGCGCCAAAGCACAGTCTTATTTCAATGCAAAAAACACTGTCTTATATTCAGGCCAATACAGTATGTTGAATTGATGCATCTTGACAAAGAGACGAGAGATCTTCAGTTTGTTGGCTTAGCCTGGCTTGTTAGCGGACGTTCTGGAGAGTCTTCGCCACGTGTATGCATTTGCTCCGGAGAGTAGCAATTAAAAAGCACAAGTTAACAGCAAGTTCTCTTGTTGCTGGACAATTGCTATTTTTTTTTTTTTTTACTGCAGCAAGATACACGCCTGCAATCTCACGCTTGCGTCACATTCTTTTCTGAATCAAATAATCACCTGAGAGCCGTCGTAGGTCCACGAGCCAAATTTCATGGAGCAGTTCTGCAGGTCAAATGGGAAGAAGGTGACATCGATGGTGCAGGCGGACTTGTAGTTGGCAGGCGGAGTCCACAATATGGTGCCGTCGTATTTTACCACTGCCTTGGTCACGGTGCCCTCGAAACGACCGTCTGAACTGAGTGTAGAATTTGGAGTGAAAATGTTCACCGACAACAAACCGTTGGATGTGCTGTGAATACTTTCCGGATGCACTGTATGTATAGCGTAGGATTGATCCATCATGTTGCATACTTATCATACAGCACGACGTCTGGGAGCCACAGCCTGTCGGATGGCACTCGTATAGTGGTGATGCCCAAGTAGTCGTCGGGGTCCCACCTTAGCTTCATGTCGGTCCACTCCTGCATGACAGGCAACATAAATTGTGTGTAATCTGGATGGTAAAATAACATGAAAGCATCGATCTTTGTGAGATACAAGATTTGTGTGTGGGTGTGGGGGGGTGAAGCAGACGTCTGGTCACCTTTCATGTTAATCCACTTGCCTGTTTCATCCACACATTGGTGGTCATCAGCTGGTTCTTTTCATCCTGGATGGGGAAAACACAGCAGAAGCTCGATTTTATGACCACTGATTGAATTTTTACGACAAC